GGGTCGTGTCTGTCACTGCCCTGCGGGGGGTCCCCGGAGGCCACCGTCGCCGCGCGGGCCCGAGAGGTGAGGGTGCCCCCGCGGCCCTGCTGGGCGCGTCGAGAGGCGCGCGGCGCGGTGGTGCTGGGAACGCAGAGCGGGGTGCCCCGGCGGCGCCGAGTCCCCTAACCCCACCGCCACGCGGGGCACGCTCCTGGCCAGAGACGTGGACGTGGAGTCCTCAGGACTCCGGCGCACGGCTTGAAGTGCGGAGGTCCAGGGGGTGCGCACAAGAAAACAGGCCAGCGCCTCCTCGTGTAGATCTGAAATTCACCGGGCTGGGAACTTTGACGTCTCGGGGCCCCTCAGCGAGACTTGCAGGGGGACCCGTCGCGTCGATTGTCAGTCTTGGTCATAGTCTTTGGTTTGCCTTGTGCTGGGGGCTCAGCGTTCGCTGTCCCTGTGCACCAGCTCTTTTCAAGGTAGTAAGGTTTAAGGAAATCCAGGTAGCCGGGAAGGTGTGGAAGGGCTGGAGTGGCCAGGCAGTCAGAGAGGGGAAACCGACTGCCCCTTCGCGCATCGTAGAATCATCTCTGTATGCAGAGTCAAGATCCTTCGATAACCGAGGTCGCGCGGTTGAAATTAATGAGCGACAAGGTAGCCAGCTACGGCGGCGGGGTGCGGATCTGAATTGGAGTCCAGCCAGGAGGAGAGAGAAATCCCTCAACTACTGTGTCCCTTGTTAATTGTACCATATTGGGACTTCTCAAAGCCCAGGGACAACGAGGAATGAGGCAGGAGGAAAAATTACAAATGGTAGTATGTATCCACATTCTGGGGTGTCTAGTGACTCTTCAGGCAGACGATTGTACCATATTGGGACTTCTCAAAGCCCAGGGACGACGAGGAATGAGGCAGGAGGAAAAAATACAAATGGCAGTATGTATCACATTCTAGGGTGTCTAGTGACTCTTCGGGCAGACATTAGAAATGATAAGAATGGCAACTCTTATGACATAATTTTAAAAGACAGCCTTGAATGCTGGGGTTCACTCCTGGTCCCTGCCTTTCCAGCGCCATGCCATGGAGGCCTTGGACCCTGACCCCCGGAGATGCTCAGCGGACCAGAACCGGAAGCCGGGTAAGATGAAGTGTGGACACTAGGTATCCACCAGTTCAGCCAAAACGTGGCACCATCTCTGAAATAAAGGGACTAGGAAAGGCCCCCTGGGCCTGTCCCTCCCGCCTTGGTCATATAATGCAGAAGAGTCCCATGGTCTGCATTAGGAGCCTGGCCAGCAAGGTGCTAATCAAACATGAGTCACATGGAGTTTGGGCTCCTGCTCACTTCTCCTTTCTTGAAAAGCAAAGTCACTCTGGCACAGCTGTTTCATGAGCATGAGAGATTTCTTCCATGTTGGATTTTTTTCTGCATACCTGCAGGTGGAAAGAGGCAGAGAGAGAAGGCTGCCTCCGTCCCCTTGTTTTAGAGAAAAGGTGAGTGTGCCATTAGCGTTAGGCTGGTGCCACAGTGCAAACGAGAGCAGAGACCAGTCTAGGATGCCCAGAAGGTGTGGTTAAAAGCCCTCACCTCCTGTCTGGCCCCTTCTAAAGCACATTCGGCCCTGTCTGCAAGGACTCCAGGGGTAACTCATGTTGTCTGAGCAAATACACTCTAGAGGAGGACTTTGCGGGCAAAGATTAATCGCCACCACTATTCTTTTGTTTCCTGCATTAGTCACTAAATTGCTTTATACTTAATTGAAGTAATGGCTTGATTTCATGGCATTTACCTTTCCTTGTTATATATTAAAATATACATGGATGACTTTTAAAATGCTGGAGAGTTAGTGAAGCTAGAATGGATCATGCATTTGGTTTACATAACACTCGTGGCATATGGGTGCGGTTATTTGTGATATGATAAGAAACTCAGGTGCGGAAGAACAGACCTTTTACTGTATTTTGATATTTAGACTACTTTGTTAAATTAGTCTGAAAAATGAGTTTTAATTCAGTTACTATTATTTAAAGGATGAAGTAAATATCAAATTAACAGGAATATGAGTTTGTAGCCCAAATTATTATTAAATACATGCAATATCTGAATAATAGAAAATAATTCCTTCTGCGTTCAAACCTAAGTTCTTAAACAATAAGACTTAAAAGGTACTTGGGAGAGGGAGAATATAGAAGCTTACAATTATCCAAATGAAATGTATATGGAACCTATCAGTTGAAAGAATAAAAATACGATAACATACTTCCTAATGTAAAGCAGGTGGTTTTTTTCCCCTATTGTGATGAGCAGGCCATTTATGAGAAAAATGAAGATTTTAGGAAAATATTAAGCTGTAGCAACTTTGCAGTTCATCATCATGGCACTGTATGGAGCAGTTGTGTCCATGGATTTGGGGGTGGGGGGTGGAGGTGAGTGTTCCAAGGGGAATGTAGCGCTCGCTGCCCCGCTCCCCCGGGGCCAGCTCTTGACAGAGCCCGGTTGGCCGGGAGGAGAGGTCAGCGGCGGGCGACCGCCAGCCCCGAGTACCGCGCACGGCTTCCGGGAGCCCCGGCGGGGCGAGCGCCGCGCGGCGCAGGGAGAGGACGCTTCTTGCTCAACAGCGCCCTCTCCCGACAAAGCAGGAGACTTCCACGGCTCCAGAGCCCTGTGACGCATTTCTCGAGAAATTCGAGGAAAGGCTGGTAGTCCCTGTGCCCTGAGCAGCCGAGTCGCCCTCACCCGTTGGGTGCCCTTCCACCGCCTAGAGTGCCGTCTTCCTCCCTTGCCTGGGAAAAGATGAACGACAGCCTAAACCTTTGTTGACCTCTGTTCCATTTCCCTCCTGGCTTCTTGCTGGCCCTGGAAGGGAGGCGATTTCCTGGAAGGAGGTTCAAGGGACTGTATTTTCCCGGGCCCGCCCACCCATCTCGCGGGCTTCCGTTCCATAGCTTTAGCCAAGTCGGGCATGCACGGGGGTGGGTGCAAGGCGAGCCCCTCGTGACCGCCGCTGCTTGTGGCTGTTCTCTCGTCCCTAAGAAAACACACACACACACACACACATCTTAAACACCGTTCTTAATGTGTATACGTTTCTATTCCCCTTGAATTAGCAAAGTATAACTAGACATTTCCATCATCACAAAAGGATCTTTAATAGGAGGATATTTGTGGTGTAAATTCTTAAAGCTGTGTATGTTTGTAGGTAAAGTTTTTATAGTTTGTAAAGTCGTACCGTGTGTTTCACAAAGTCTAGTTAGAATGGTTGGCTTAATGGAAGCTATTTCTCTATGCCGGTTAACACTGCCTTTATGTCCACCAAAGTCTGCATCGTCACAAGGTGTAAAACCGCCTCTGACAGCCTTGGATCGCTTAGAGCGGGTGGAGGACGCCTAAGCAATCAAACACAGGGTTTAACACAGATTTCCTGGAGCCCCCAAAGAGTAAACTTCATCCTGGAGAAGAATCTGCTCCAAAGAGCCTCATTCTCTTTTCCCTAGCTCACCATGGTGCATTGTAAAGTTACGGCTGATAAAATATAATGACGATTGTTCACAAAGGCCACACGTGTACACCCAAGGTCCCCTGACAGATGGAAGGGCATGGTGGTGACCACTGGTGACAAACAAGCCTCGGACGCCTTCGCTGTCATGCCCCAGCTGGTCTTATCCCATTTCCTGTCTGGTTCCACCAAACTCCATACAATCCAAGGGCTCGGGGTTTCTGCTCCAACCCCTTTTGGCTCATTTCCATGTCACCCCCAGATGGTCCAGCCCAAGACGCCCACTCCCCACTTTTCCACAGTAACTACAGCTTTCAGAAATCAAGATCAAATGACAGTGTCTGGCTCCTCAGTCCCTCAAATAATCTGGTTACACTCCAGGCCAAATCCACCGAGGTCCAGTGCCTCATGGGATCAGCCCTGAGCTGGCAGAGTGTGACTGTTTTCACCGCCCTTGTACTCCCACTGGTCACAGTGGGCAGGACAGACCTGGCTCTCTCTGCTTGTGCCTTGTCCCCTCCTCCACTCTTGCTATTCAAGAGTCGTGATATACAAAAGGTTGTGGCCCTTTTGGATGCTACTGAAGTATCCTTGGAATCCATCTTTTCCTTCCCTTCTGGTGGGTGTTACTTGAGTTTAAATCTTCATCACCTTTTTCCAGGTGCCTCCACCCTTACCTTTCCAATCTAGGCTCGGCACTGCTCCCAGCCGCTCCATTACCCTGAAAATACAGATCCTATTGTTGAACTCCCGGCTCAGAAATCACTAACGGTCTTTAGTGCCTATTTCCAGAATGAGACCTAGACTCCATAGTAGGTTCAAGGCTTTCCATAACTGGGACTCAGCTTCCTGTCAGAGCCTTTTTATCAACACGGCCTGTCATTCATCCCACATCGAGCTTCTCGCCCTTCCCCACCTGAGCTCAATTTCCCCGCCCCTTGGAATGTAACACTCTGCTCCACCAGGAGTGGTCTCAGAATTGTCCACCTAGTACCGCTGACATCTCTGCTGGCCCTCTGTGAAGATTTCCTGATCCTCCTCCCCACTCGGAATCACGAGCATCTTACCGGGTGATGCTTCGTAGTGTAGAAACTTGCCTCCATGTGTGTCTCCCACCATTAGATTTAAAACCCCCGAACTGAGGGGCTGTGAGACTTCTCTTTCCATCTTTGAATCCCTCACAGAATCCCTGGACATCGGGGACAGTAAGAGGAAGAGGGGCTTCTCAAATACTGCTAAGGTGTTCAAACTCTCTCTAAAATCGGAACTGATACTGACAAGTGCAGGCTACTTAGATTTTGTTTCTTTAAATTTCAGGATGTGACTTCAGAGGCTCCTTGACTGTGTGTGTGTTTGTATGTGTCTGTCTTTACAGCCTGAGCCTGGGGGTGACCAACAAACTCCTGGATCAAAGGGGGCCTTTGGGTTTCAGCATCCTGTAAGGTAACATGACTTCACAGTAAGAAGTACATTATGTCCTTTTACTATAAGCATTAATACACTTTAGCGTCTTCAATGGTATGCATTTTCAACAAAGTGGAAAATAATTTTGTGTTCTCCAATACTTTTTAGTTCCTATTATCCAAGGAACTTCAAGGATATTTGGTGGGATTTCTGGAATCCATTTATTTACTCATTCATTCAGTGTTTCAGATGGAAGTTGGAATTGGCTTCCCTTTCCTTTATACCTTTTTTCATACCTCTTACTACACAGCGTCTTGTGTTAAATATAGTTGAATATGAATTGTATAAGCACGTCTGCTTATTGACTTAGATATTTAGGTCCATTTCTAGTTCTCTCCCAGGATGTAAGTTAGCACATTGTCCAGAACAGACGAGACCTTCCCAGTATGCCTGCTGCCTAGGTCGGGTGGGTGCTCCCCCACAATCGGTCCCTCCAGCCTCTCTCAGTGGTCCTTTCATGGTCTTGGCGGGACAAGGGCCCATGCTCAGGACTTGTATTTGTTCCTGTGTCCACTTCTCTCCTGTTTCTCTCAGTCTGTCTCTATCTGTCTCTCGGATGAACCTAGTCCATGCTCCCACCTCTCAGATGATTTTTACCCTGTGTATCCTGAAAGACTGGAAGCTTTAATAAAACCTAAAGATGCTAATTGTTAGAGATGAAATTTACAGCCCCCCACCCCCAACTGGTCAAAGAGCGATTTCTGGAAAAGGAAAGCTTTCCCAGCGTCCCTTCTGCCAGTGGTCGCTAATCCCCAGAGTCGATGGGGCTGCTGTAGCAGTGCAGACACAGGTTGCTCCCCCGGGCTTCTGACACCCTCGTTCTGGGAAAAGGCCTCGGTGTCTGTTTTTGTAGGGTCCCCAGGCGATCCGATGTTTCGCCGGGGTTGACAGCCACCACCCTCTCACGTAGACGCTCTGCCGCCGCTCCCCACTTTTTGAGTGGTTGAAAGTGTGGTGACTAGAGGCGTGTACTGCAAACTGCAGAAGCTGTTTTGTCTTGATTTCAGAAAATTTCAAGCATACACGAAAGCGTGGCAAACAGTACAATGAACCCCACGTGCCCAGCACCAGCCTCAACGATCATCAACGTTTTTTGGATCTAATCATGTTTGTCACCCTCTCCCATCACCTTTTTTTTTTTAAAAATTGTTGTTAGACTATTTTAAAGCAAGCTCCAGACATCCTATGCATTCAAATTTGCCTGTCATTACGGGAGCCTCTCCTATCGCTTTAGCTTTCCGAGGTTTCGGTTCCCCAAACACCTTTTTTTTTTTTTTAATTGTTGTTAGACTATTTTAAAACAAGCTCCAGACATCCTGTGCATTCAAATTTGCCTGTCACTACGGGAGCCTCCTCTATCGCTTTAGCTTTCCGAGGTTTCGGTTCCCCGCGGTCAACGGCAGTCCGAAAATATTAAACGGAAAATTCACTTGGCTGAGACGCGGTGACTAGATCGAACGTCGGGGTATCACAGTGCTTGTGTTCAAGTCGCCCTGATTCTACTTAATAATGGCCCCTAAGCCACTCGCATAACTTTTGTTACAGTATGTTGTTTTATTTTATTATGGTTGTCAATCTCTTACTGTGCCTGATTTATAAACTAACCTTTGTCATAGGTTTGTATATCTAAGAACAAATGTAGTGTATGCAGGGTTTGGTGCCACCCACAGTTTCAGGCATCCCCTGGAGGTCCTGGAACTTATCCCCTGCGGATAAGGGGGAGGGACCGTTGTACTTTAGCATAACATCTAATTTTTAACATGGGCGAATACTAAACTGTGCTTATATTTCTGTCCTATATGTTTTTTCTCTGTCTGTTGCAGAGTTTCTGAACCTCAGCACTATTGACACTTTGCACTAGATGATTCTATGTCATGGGGGCTGTCTTGGTCCTTGTGGGGAATTGGACAGCATCGCTGGCCTCTACCCACTGCATGCAGTAGCTTCCCCTCGGTTGTGGCAACGAGAAGGTCTCCAGACATTGCCCAATGTCCCTTGGTGGTGGAAAATCACTGATCTCTTGGAAATATTAGCGAGTTCAAAATTGTCATGCATTATTTACAGCTTTTTTTTTTCCCTTTTTCTCCTCTGTCCACAAAGGAGAAAATCGAAATCAGCTTTGCAAATAAGCAGTGACCAATGGATAGGATAATCGCTATGAGTTCTTCCGAAGACCGCGGGGTGGAACGCAAACAAATTAGTGAGCAGTGCAAGGATAAGAGATTATGAGGAGCGGGGGTGGCGGCATTTGAAATACTTTCCGTGTATAACTGGAATCCTAAAGTCACAAAGCCTGGATTTAGAGGTTTCGAATTTATTTATTCAAGTTATTTTCTTCCTTCCTTTCTTTTTTTCTATCTTTTTTTCTTGTTTTTTTCCTCCCCCACCTCCCCCTCCCCACCCCAACCTCCTTTCTCTTTCTACTAGACAAATGGCCAGCGTTGCCTTTTTCTATTCTGGAAAAGCAAGGGATCCCCCTCCTCACCATAGCGTCCAGAAAGATTAGCTACTTTTCTTCTAGAATGGGGTTTCAGAGTCCAGTTTTTGCTAGAGCCCCGAGGGCCACAACGTCCCCCATGCACGGGGGTGTGACCTAAACAGGACATATGTTCCCCAGGATGGCTCAGGTCCTCCACGGGGTCAGAGTGAGTCTGGCAATCTTGGAACTCGATGTTTTCATTTACTCTCACTTTTACGGAAGCACAGCTTTTCCACTAAATTGATTTGCCCACTCAGATTATACTTTATTTCTGAACTAGTGTGGGATCCCTTCCCAGGTCCATCTGCCCACATTTTGTGTTCTGGTGACTTAAAAATCAATCGATCGACCGATCGATCAATCAATCAAAAACCGCTGTGTGCAGCGAAGGCAAAGCCGGAGAAAAGTGTAGGGAGTTAGCTGCTTCTAGGAAAAAAGCTCCTCTAGGTGGAGTTCGGACCGTTTCAAGTTGACTAATGCTGTGTTTGTTTTTCAAACATCAGACTTTATTTACCTATTTCGAAGCGTCAGGAATATCTGCAGAGTTCTGGGGAAAAGGTACTGGCCAGTTTCCCGGTGCAAGCCACGATTCATTTCTACAACGACGACTCGGACTCGGAGGATGCAGAGCACGAGGAGGAAGCCCGACCCTCCGACCTTCAGTGCCGCGAGGCGGAAGGCCCGGAGGACAATGGCCCAGGAGGACAGGGCCGAGGCTGGCTGACACACCCAGAACAGGGATCTGGAGGACAGGGTGGGCATGATGGTAAGGGTCTGCTCCCCGGGTGTCACTCTCCAGGGAGTGCCCTATGCTCCTCATCCAAATAAGTGGGGTCTCCCTCCCACGCCCGACCTGCCTCACACGCAATTCAGAACAGCTGTGCCTGGACACTCTGCACTGCCCTGGGTATACCGGGGACGGGGGCTGCTGTGACTGTCTCTGGCCAGCACTCCACTCACGGCAAGACCTCAGCTTTCACTTTTCCTTCTGGCGATCCTGGTTCAGGGCACTCACACCTACCGTTGAGAAAGGATTCCAGGGCCAAGAGAAGGTTTGTGTCAACATGGTTCTTATCTGGTAGGGCCAACTTTCCAAGCACATTTCAACACTGTCACTCCGCTGATCAAATGACAGATTACTCCCATAGAGAATAATAACCCACCCGTGCCTCTCACTTAATCCGAGGCTCATTATTTAGCTATGTCTGCTTTTGTAACAATGATTTAGATATTGTCCAAGGGTCTATGGGGGTTGCTTCGTGGCATTCTGAAACAAATTATTTATGAAAAACAAATAAAACACAATAATTTCTGTAGGAATAATAGAAATAAAAAGATGGATTTTTAGGGGATAAAAATGTATATGACTGTTGTCTAAGGGCTATGTATACGAATAGAGAGAAAAGCTTGAACTCTTAAGTTGGGGACTGCTTTGGGCTTGTTACTTGAATAACACTGTTTTCTATCAAAGCATCTAATGGAAAATTATTTTCACTTTTTTAATAGTTGAATGACCAAATATATGTTCCCCTCAAGGTTTTTTACTTAACTGTCTTACGTGGTTGTCTTCCTATATACAGTACATTATGTAAGTTTCTACTTGAAATAAATATTTTGAAAGAAAAAATGTTTAATAATCAACTTTTTAAAGACATTTTTAGATTTCATGGGTTTTTAAAAGTTTGTCAGTTTATATTTAACTCTTTAAATGATATTTATTGTTTTTAAGAACGCAGGAAAAGTAAAAAAAGGAAAACAGAAAGGACTATAACCTCAGTGCTCAAATCATCCATCAATATTAAAAAGTAGGAGGAATATACTCCTGTAGGTGGTGTATGCAGTTGTAGGAGGCTCCTTCTGCTTGCTGAGTAGGACCCCATGTGTGAATACACCGCCATCCATTCGTCCTGTGTCCTGCATACAAATACTTTAACAATCCAAACAGTATAGAAAAGCATGTTGCCAAAGAAAAGTCACCTTCTCTTGTCTTCCCCTTTCTCTGTCCAAAGGTGGCTAATATCAGTTGTTTTTAATGTAAACTTTTTATTGCACAATAATACATCTACATAGAAAAACTATATATATCATATCATAAGCTTGAGATATATATATTTTTTAGGCAAGGCAACCCTTGGTTGACCTCACAGATTGCAAGGACCTTGTCAGTTTACCATCCCTTATTTTTTATTCTTTACACCTACAGCACCTGGTCTTCCTAGGTGGTCTCCCATCCAAGGACTAACCAGGCCCGACTCTGCTTAGCTTCCGAGATCAGACAGGATCAGGCTTGTTCAGGGTGGCATGACCGTAGACTAAGCTTGATATATTTTTATAAAGTTACTGTGCTCATGAAAACAGCGCCCAGATCAAAAACAGAGCAGGACAATCCCCTGTGCTCCCTCCATTCACCACCCCCTCTGACACTGTAGATTCCATTGACCTTGTTTTGAACTTGGTATCAGTGGAGTCACAGGGCATACGCTCTTCTGTATCTGGTTTCTTTCCTTAACATTAGTTTGTGAGACTCATTCCCACTGTGTATGCAGTTGTAGGTGGCTCATTCTCATTGCTGAGTAGGACCCCATCTGCGAATACACCGCCATTCGTCCTTTCTCCTATCGATGAGTATTTGGTTAGTTTCCAGTTTGGGGCTCTTAGGAAAAATACTGTTTTGACCATTCCTGCATATGGCTATGGGTGGACATATGGGCCCGTTTCCATTGGCGTATGGCTAGACATGAAGCAAGAGCACAGTTTTTATGAGTCCACCCTGTGTCTGTCTGGTGTCCTCCAGCCAGAAAATAACTTTGGAATTGGAGAGAGGGGAGCATAGGCCAAGGCATTCTAGAGGAAACAGACGAGGTTCTCGAAAAGGCCATTCTTTTCTTCGAGACGTTATAAAATGGCCTGGAGTTCAGAGGCGCTGTTGGACCCAGCGAGTGGCCACAGCCGGTGAAACTTCATTCCTCCCTGAGTTGAGATTTTGCAATGGGCTTTAGGAGCTTACGCCATTAGGGAACGGGTGTGAAATGGAAAAGCGAAGGAGACCTGGGATACTCGATCTCTTAAGAGCGGGGAGAAGAAAGTCTAAGAACTCTTTTCTAAGAGCTCTCGAACTCGCGTCATCCCTTCCCATCCAGAGAAAACCCCAGCACAGAAAGAATCAAATCTGAGATCGGAACCCACATTCCACAAAACGCCCCTTTCCAGCAACGAGCCCAGCCCCTGCCCCGCCCCCCGCCTCTGTGACTGGGCAGCCTCGCCCGCTGGGAATTACAGCGACCTTGGACCATGTGTCGCCCCTTTCATTTGCTTCTGCGGCACATTCCAGCCGTGCTAATTACATAGATGCTACTGAAAATTTCCCATTATTTTATTTTGGACTTTGAACAATCAACTGAACTCACAGAGGTGTTTGTTTGTTTGTTTGTTCGAGCGATTTATTTTTATCACCTTTTTTTCTGGGATAGGAAGATGATATATTGAAGCAAGAGGAAAACTGCCCAGTTCAGAAACACCAGAAGGAGAATTTTCTTCCTTCCTGCAGGGCATGAATCGAGTCTGCATGACTCATTTTTATAGAATTGTTGGTGACAGACAAAGGCATAAATAGGTACTCATTTATGATGATCGTAAAAATGATAGATGTTTATAAAAATAATTTCGACTGCCTTAGAGGTTGCTGGGCAAATGCGAAATCCATTATTATTTTAATATTTCATTATATCATTAGATAGTAATCCTTAAAAGCAGATTTCATTTTAGAGTTTTGGATATTTCAAAAAGATGCTCAACATCATTAGTCCTTACAGAAATGCAAATTAAAACCACAGCGAGATACTGGCATCTACCTACTAGAATGGTTACAATTTTAAACAGACGGACCGTAGCAGGGTGAGTAGGGATGTGGAGAAACTGGAACATCCTGGTGTGAATGTAAAATTGTTAATAGTTTGGAAAATAATTTGGCAGTTTTATTAAAAAGTTAAACATATATTTCCCATACAACTTAGCAATGCCACTTCTAGGAATCCACCCAGAAGAAATGAAAACGTTTGTTCCCAAAAAGACATGTACACAGATGGTCACAGCAGCTCTATTCATAATAACCCCACACCAGAAACAATCCTAATGTACATCAACCGGTGAATGGATAAATAAAATGCAGTATAGCCATGTGAAGCCATGTGATGGGACATTATTCAACAATAAAGAGTATTATTACATGAAGTATTATTACATGCTAAGACTTGACTGGACCTTGAAAACATGCTAAGTGAAAGAAGCCAGAAGCAACAGACTACATTGTACAATTCCAGTGACATGAATGTCACGAAAGGCAAATCGATAGCCACAGAAAGCGAAACAGTGGTCACTTTGTGCTGGGAGTAGGAGGAAGGATTAACTGTAAATGGGGACAAAGAAACGTTTTGGGGTGATGGACATGTTTTATAACTGGGTGATGATGATTATTGCATAATTCTATAAATGTGCTAAGTCATTGAATTGCGTGAACTGTGTACATGCCAATGGTGAATAGATACCATATAAATTATGTCCCGATAAAGCTGTCTTAAAAAGCTTAAACACTTCTATTAAAACAATATTTGTATCTTTTTCTTTAGTTACCAAGCCACTACAGGAATAATATAATCTTTTTTTGGCAGGACAAAATTTAAATTTTTAGAAGTAACCCAAAGGAAAAGGTTCTAAAGAAATCCTTTTGTCTCTTCCATGATGCTCGGTTTTCAACTCTCCTGGGTCTATCAAGGTTCTGACTTCTGCCATGTGCAGTGACCTCTGAGCCATCCATCACATACAGAGGTCCCAGGTGTACTTTTAGGATGATGACTGCAGTTCCAAAGTAAGACATGAAGGAAAGACTGATCACTGTGATCCAGGTAATCATTAGACTGGATCTTTCTGTGAGCATCTTAAATTACTTAGCATTCCAGGATTATTTTGTTAAACAGTGTATGTGCAGGGCCAATACCCCGATTTAGGTCAGGTGTAAGTCTTGGGGCTTCCATTATCAACAACACCAAACATCGATGGTCACCAACTGTCGTAATTTGGAGTCTCTCCAGATACATCAAACACTACATTGCAAATTAGGAAGTTTGACATAGTTTTCTACAATAAACTGGTCCCTAACAACAGTTACAGCTACCATATAGATCATTAAAAGATATTTTAAACCATGCATTTAAAAATAGATTTCTTATTGACATGCAAGAGAGAGAAAAGTGAGCAAATCGTAAGTGCTTGATGAATCTTAAATGATGACACACCTTTGTACATCCGAAACAAATGTAAGATTGTATGTTAACTATCCTTTAGTTAAATGCAAAAAAAAAAAAAAGATGACACGTCATTTAAAATAGCAGCTAGGTTAAGAAATAGAAGATTATCATTGCTCCAGAAGCCCCGCCCCCAGCCACCACACTCTCTTCTCCAAGGATTACCACTATTTTGACTTCTAAAACCCTAGACTCATTTTGCCTATTTTGGAACTTTATATAAATGGAATCATGCAGCGTGTGCTCGTTTGTGTCTGGTTTCTTTTTTTCAACACTGTGTCTATAAGAGTCACCGACTATTCTTCGGTGTTCTATTGTAGGACTGTATCACTATTTATTTATCCATGCCATGGTTGATAGACATTTGGATCGCTTCCAGTTTTTTGGTTATAATGAACAATGCCGCTATGAACATTTTTGAATATGCCTTTTGTGCACATCTGTGTACATTTCTGTTGAGTAGATAACCAGGAGCGGTTGCTAGGTTACAGGGTATGGGTATGGTCACCTTTAGTATAAATCATTTTGCTAAATCTAGAAAGCCACTTGAAGTGATTTAGGAGTAAACATACCTATATGCAGAAATTTCCTAAATATAAACACATGTTCATTCTTCTTCAGAGTTGACCTGTGCAAACACTGTCGTAGGCGGGACAATTGAATATCAGTCACAAAGCTGCTGGAGTGTGATGTCTCATAAACACGACTTCTGAAGAAGTTTGCCTGGGTTTTCGGCCCTCGGGAAATGAGGCAGATGTGAACTTCCTGGCACCCCTGCAAGCTTCCGGGGGGGAGGTGCGTGGAGTCCGTGTGAGTGGGGCTTGCGTCCCTCCTACAGCAGGCAGTGGCCAGGGCCTACCAGTACTACCGGCATAGGGAGTGGGGAAGACGGTGCTGTCCCTCAGAATGCTGGCCCCTTCCCACCTGGCACTTCTGGTGGCAGGCCTCAGCAGGTGGAACAGCAGGCAGGTATCCTATCACCTCGGGCAGTTCTGGGACAAAGACACTGGGCATTCCTTCTTCCAGTGGCTTGAGTATGGTTAATTCCACTTTGCCCAATGGCGGGAGCAGGTGGCCTCACCTCGCCAGGGGTGGCTGGACATTGAACGGAGAGAAAATGACTCACTAATCCGATTAAAACCAACACAGACTTAACGTTTCATACCTGAGAGACAGCGCTGGTGGCTAAGTTTACACCTCTGGGTGGTCGCGGTCCAGCTGCTGGGGCCAGCCTGGCTCAGCGCCCTCCTGAGACGGAACCAGAGCACCCGAGGCTCAGCCTGGGAGCACCCAGCCGGGTGCAGACAGCCCGGAGCCCAGCCTCCTG